CTTCTTCTTCTTCTTCTTCTTCTTCTTCTTCTTCTTCTTCTTCTTCTCCTTCTTCTCCTCCTCTTCCTCCTCTTCCTCCTCTTCCTCCTCTTCCTCCTCCAAATTCAAACTCCAGTTTCTCTAATTAAAGGAGTACTTCTGCATCCTTGGAGGAAGCGAAGTAGAGAATGCAAGATCGGGATAGATGAGAACACTCTATAGCTGGTGGGCCCCATGTAGGATCTCCTTCCCATTTTTGTGCTTCTTGTTGTTCTGTTACTAGTCAACTCTGACTTTTCACAACCCCCATGGAGCATAGCATGCCAGCCCCCCTTGTCCTCCACTGTGTCCCAGAGTTTGCCAAATTTTGAATGACACTATTTAACTATCACATCCTCTGCCACCCTCTTCTCCATTTTCTCTTCCATCTTCCCAACATCAGAGTCTTTTCTTATTAGGGGGCCAAAATATTTGAGCTTCAGCTTCCAAAGAGGAGTCAGGGTTGATTTCCTTTAGGGTTCTACAGTCCACAAACACTTATTAGTAGGTTAAAAAAATGCTTCCCGATCAAAGTCTGTAGAGATCCTCGGTCATCCAGGTCATGGTTGTCCCAAAGGAGCTTTTTTAGGAGGCAACTGGCCTTTTTTCTTTTCTTTTGAAGATGTTTTGCTTCTCATCCAAGAAGCTTCTTCAGCTCTGACAGGATAGTGAGGAATGGAAGGGTTTATCTTCCTTGCAGACAGCTGGTCATTTGCATCCTTTTTAGAGAGTCCTTGAGGCCACTTGGAGCTTTATCTATATCTTCAGGATCTTCAAAAGAAAAAAAAAAAACCCAAGAAAGTCCAGCTGCCTCCTGAAAAAGAACCTTTGGGACAACCACGACCTGGATGCTTGAGAATTTTTCAAGATTTTTAACTGTACAATTTGGGATGGACCCCCTTGGAATGGTGTGGGAGTAGGAATGGATTTCCAGAGGAAGAAAAATTGCAGACCACAGTAACCTGGAGCACTACTCAGGTGCCCCAGAGCAGGGGTCCCCAACCACTGGGCTGCGGGCCAGTACCAGTCCATGGAACATTTCCTACCGGGCCACCAGTTTGCTGGGCGCCGCCATCTTGTTGACGAGAAAGTGCTTCCGAGTGAGCTTTTCCGGTTGAAAAGTGGCTTTTGGGTCCTGAAGGAATCCTTGCGCCTTAGTTTCATCGAAGGGGGCGGGGGCTTCGAACGAAACTAAGGCGCGAGGATTCTTTCAGCACCCAAGGCAAGGTGAGCCGAGCGACCATCCTGAAACCGTCCTGAAGCAAAGCCCATCAACAAAGGTATAAAGGAGGAGTTGAAAGTGGCGGGGAGAAGCGAGGGACGGCTGGC